CTTTACTGATAATTGATAACAACTGGAAAAACCACCTTAAAGCTCTTGGTTAATGGATAAACAAGTTGTGGTACATCTATATAACAGACTTACTACTCAGCAGTAAAAAAGAATGAACTATTGATAAATGCAAAAACCTGGATGAACCTCAAAATGCAATTCTCTAAAAGTCAATCTCAAAAGATTACATACTTTATGATTTCATTTATATGACATTCTTGAAAAGCAAACATTTGTGACAGAGAATAGGACCAACAGTTGCCAGGGGATATGGAATGGGGAGAGGGTGTGACTACAAAGAAACAGCCCTGTTCCTTTTTCTGATTGTGGTGGTTAGATAAACCTGGCATATATTAAAATTTATGAAATGGTTTACCAAAAAAGAATCAATTTTACTGTGTATTAGAGCTTTTTAAAAAAAGTATATCAAAGAAAGTGTTAGGAATCTATGAATTATGTAATCTCAGGATTTTAAAGATGAGGAAACAAATCCAGGGGTATTAAAAGTGACTTGCTAATTAATGATCACAATTACTCAATGGCAATCCTCTCATTAAGAATTCAAAACTTAATACAAAGTATGGTTTACCTCAAAATGAGAAATTCAGTCAGAAATAAAAAATATGTAGAATTGCATAACAAGCCAGGCCATAGATTTCACACTTACATTTTAATATATATAAAATTCAACTATAATTTCTATGCCACATTTAGGTGAATAGGCCAAGAATAAAAAAAAATTAAATTCTTAATTCTGTTCAAGAAAGACTTCATAAACTGCACCTTAGTCATTAAGAAAGAATTTAGCAGAATTTCTAAGGTTACCTCTGAAAAACTCCAGTATTATTAGTTGTATACTAAATCAATATTTCCCTTCTGGATATTCTAGATATTAAAGAAAATATCCACTACTTCAATAGGTAAAAATCAGTCTAAGTTTGGTGGAACGTGAGAAAATGGAAATAGGAAGAAGTATAAGAAAAGGAAATAAGATGAAAACAGAGGGGCTTGTACTATACAAATTACTAGCTATACTTAATAAATATGAGATATTTTCTTACCCTTTTTAAAATTTTATTATGTTATGTTAATCACCATACATCATTAGTTTCTGATGTAGTGTTCCATGATTCACTGTTTGTGTATAACACCCAGTGCTCCATTCAATACGTGCCCTCTTTAATACCCATCACCAGGCTAACCCTTCTCCCCACCTCCCTCCCCTCTAGAACCCTCAGTTTGTTTCTCAGAGTCCATAGTCTCTCATGGTTCATCTTCTTACCCTCTTCTTTAGGGATGATACACAAAAGTTTAATATTCAGGACTCTGGTTCTTTCCCAAATATTTCCTTTTGAGTCTCAGGTGTCAACTAAGACTCTGATTACCACTCCACTTTACAGAGATCCAATAATCTTTTTTATAAGGTGCATTCAGCCTCATCTAACCATATCTTTATAATTTCCATGTGGGGTGATAATACCAACAAGACTATCTTAAAGTATATAGAAAGTAAACAGGGCATAGGCATGAAGAAAATATCAAAAGTATTCATTTCTTGGGGCGCCTGGGTGGCTCAGTTGGTTAAGCGACTGCCTTCGGCTCAGGTCATGATCCTGGAGTCCCGGGATCGAGTCCCACATCGGGCTCCCTGCTCAGCAGGGAGTCTGCTTCTCCCTCTGACCCTCTTCCCTCTCGTGCTCTCTATCTCTCATTTTCTTTCTCTCAAATAAATAAATAAAATCTTTAAAAAAAATATTAATTTCTTGCTAATAAATGAACAATCATACATTCCACCAATAACAGTCCCAAATGAACAGATCTTGATATTATAATATGCAACAGAGAGTTTTAAAAGTCTTGACGTTTATCTGATAAAAATCCTTACTTTTACAAATAAGAAACTAAAGGTTAATAGAGTTAATTATTACAAAGGTGAATTAAGAGTAGACCTCCTATTTACATAGTAATTATTCATACAATGCAGACTTAAATTTTGTCCCTTTCCTTAAGCCATTCTGCTTGCATACCCCCAAGATGAGAAGAAGGAATTAGCTAAACACTTGTTATTAATCCACATACTTTAGAGAACTGAAAGCAAAGAACCATGTCCTTGAATCTTCTTGTCACATCTAATCTAAATGATTTTGTTTACCTTAATACACAATATAAAACACATACAATTTTATGGCAATTGAACCTAAAATTAATGTTGAACTACCTTTAATCCTGTGTTGTTGCTTTTACTGCTGTTAAATAAGTAATGAGGAAAAAAGAAAAAAAAAAGCTTATTACCAAGTTGTGTACTATGCCATTTGCAAAGAGAACTATTTTTTTTTAATAAACTCAAATTTTAACAAAATTGTCAATTTTATTCCACACAAACTTAAGTATTAAGAAGTCGCAGTAAGAAAGTTACACTTCATATAACATTTGCCCTGCAATTATCTGAACATTCAGTATTAAAAATGATAGTAGAGGGGCGCCTGGGTGGCTCACTCAGTAAAGCATCTGACTCTTGATTTTGGCTAATGTCATAATCTCAGGGTTGTGAGACCGAGTCCCGCACTGGGCTCTGCGCTGGGCTTGGAGCCTACTTAAGATTCTCTCTCCCCCTCTCCGTCTGCCCCTACCTGCCCCCTCACAACTGGCTCACATGCTCTAAAAAAATTAAATAAATAAATAAGAAAGAAACAAAGATCAGTAAAGAAAATTTCTGATTTAATTTAAAACTTTTATTCGAGGCTTTGTTCCCCATGTTGTTAAATTTTAAATTTTTAAAGTACTATGATAAAGTCTATTTTGGTATTAATTATAAGAACTGATAACAAGATTTTTATTTGCTGGTTTCTTTTTATTTTTTTGAGATCTACAACTAAACAGCTACTATGTTTCAGGCTCTATGATAAGCCTTGAGAACAGGTGAATAAAAACATGTCCTTACCTTCAAGGAGCATGCGGTTTAGTGTTTAAACGTGTACAGTAGTAAATTACGATGCAACATGATACAATAATGAATGTACAAAGCAGAACAAAGAAAGATAATCAGAGAAAGTCTGGAAAGATTTCACAGTGATATCCAAATTGGCTTTGAGAAAGAAAAAGAATTTGTTAGTAGGACCCCAGGTCATTTCTTTATATGAAACTCTAGGAAAGACAAACTTATTAAAGGTAGACCAGTGGTTGCCTAAAGCCAGGGATGCAGACTAGAGACTGAGAATTAATGTATACAAGAGGACCACTGAAGTGATGGAAATGTTCAGGATCCACTGATTGTAGTGATAGTTACCGGGGTATATCCATTTGTTAAAACTCATCAAATCATATACTTAAATGTACATTTATATGTAATTTATACTTCAGTAGATTTTTTAAAAGGGACTAGGGAAACCAAATGGGCTACTCTTTGTGTGGCAAAAACTCTCAATATTCCAATTACAAGGCAGTTATCAGTATTCTGTGAGGAAAAAAATGTTTTCTCTAAATAAACAGAGTTTAAAGCTCCAGCGCCGTTTCTTATTTTAGACTTCTCCTAAGGAAGTAATGGGCAAAAAATGCAGAGCTCGGCAGAGTTCCAATAAGAACAGGCTATTTCTAAGTTTACATGATATTGCTAAGAAAAGCATTTTCATAACATGAATTTCCACTTATATGTAATTATTGAATGTGTAGGTAAGAGAATACTAGATGAGTTGAAGAGTTCCTAGCTAACTGTTATTCTGGGAAAATTAATTCCCATCTTTGGGATTATTTCAGTTCTAAAACAAGAAGACTGGTTTCTCTATGATTTCTGTCATTTTTAAGATTCAACTCTTCTTACAAAGTTGAAATCTCTATACAGAGCGTCTCCAAATGAAATCCCTAAGGTAAGTCCCAGATGTGGAAATTGATGCATTAAAATAAGTTTTATTAAGTACACTAAATATCTGAAGTATCTTATCCAATATTTTAGATTGGTAATTTGAGGTTCTTAGTCACATTTACGTATTTTCTTAATCAAATTTAATTTTGCTTAGATCTGTTATTTCTTATTAGCTAATCTCACAGGTACTTCTAAAATTTCTACAGTATTGGATACATTACTGTACATATACCACTCCTTTTCTCTGTGAATGAAGACTTTGAAGGTTATAGAGATTATAAACCTTGCTCAAAATATCATCTTTGCAAAGACAAAACTATTAGACAAATGTGTCTTGTAGGATTTTTTTAAGTAAAAAGTTTTAGAAAGAAGGCATATATAAATGGATAAATATTGGTAAAACATGGAAATTTTTCTTCTGGAAGGATATACAACAAAAAGTTAGTAATGCTACCTTTAAGAAGAGAGCCTAGGTGGAGAGAGGTAGTTTTTCTATTTTTACTTTCTGTATCATTGAAAAATTTCCAACATGAACATTTGGTAATTCTACTGTTTAAAAATCTTAGGTTAGACTTATGGGTTTTATTTTTCTTTTCTATATTTAAGGAAAAAAGTAATGTTTGGTTTTTAAAATTTTTCTTCTTCCTTTTCAAACAATATGCCTGGTGGCTTAGTTGTTAATTCAGTTGCTTAGAGCACACAGAACAAAGCTCATAGGTTTGATTAATTACATTTGCAAAGAATAAAAATATCCCTCGGTCACAGAATACATTTTTAACTTTAAAAAGTCATCTGGCAAACTCGTGTTGCTGATCACAACGATGAATCAGGTAAGAGCATGTGGTTGACTCAATACAAAACATTAATCTTGGAAAATAACTCTAAGTGATGTCTTACTGACAGAGGGTAAGAGAATAGACAGCAGTGTTACTCATCTCTAAGTAAATGTTTCAATTTTCATATCCATCAACTCACTGCACTCCTGAATAGAACAGAAATAAGACCTTAACAATCGGAGAAAATATAGTCCCTGTACTTTCAGAAAAGCTAAAAACGGTTATGTCACAAAGCTTATTAATTTCAAAGATGATACAATTCTTATTAATACACTATATAAATATCAAATAAAATACATATATACCTGTAACATCTTCTGGATCTGAAACAACAATATGTGCATTTAGTTCCTGTAGCTTATGATGCAGTTCTTCTAATTTTTTATTTGATTTTTTCAAAATGTTGTCCACGTAAGCCAAACTTTTTTTATCTGTTGTGACTTTCCTCAGATTTTCAGCTCCTTCTTTGATTTTCAGTTCTTTCCTTATTTCTCTCTTGATTCGATCCTTGATATCATCCAATTTCTGTTGCACCATCGTATCTGAAAAGTCTAATTTTTGAACAGCACTCACATTCTCAGAAAATGGAAGACTTCGGGAATCTCCCTACAGAGAAAAAATAAACATACAAATGTGGTAGTTTAGGAAAGTTAGTTGCTCAGTAACATGTGCAGCACAAGAGCAAAACTATGTATTCAGTGATTCCTTATTAAGTACATCACATTTAATTATTTCCTTAATAAGCAACAGACTAGTTACCTTTATTATTACCATACAAAATCCTAAGTTCAAAAACTGCCCACTGACTAAATAGCATTATCTGACAAATTTATATTAAAGTAAACACATCTACACACAAAAGCATCTTAGGGTTCTATACAGAGAGTGGATTTCTGATATCCTATGAACCCAAGTTAGATCCCAACGCCTACAATGTGAATCGTGAGCAAGTTATTTAACCCTTCAAATATTCAGTTTAATCGTCTGTAAAATCAACATAATATTGCCACCTTTCAGAGATATTGTGATAATCCAAAATATTTTATGTGAAGCTCCAAGTACAATTCTTGGCCCACTGTAGAGTCACTCAAATAAATGAAAATTATTATTAAATTCCATAGGTAAGATACAATTCTATTTGATCTTCTATAAAAAACCTCTTAAAAAACTAATATTGGCAAAAATAAAATAGAGTTATATCCTTACGACCACTTCTGGTTAATGAATTAAATGCATCAGGATTTGGAAAGCCTATATTCAGAACTCTATATATTTCATGGCTAACTATCCTAATTGATAACTTGGTTGACTCACTACAAAAACATCATTACTAGAAAATATGTCTCAATTATGTCCTACTGATAGAAGCTAAGATAATACACAGTATCAGTTATTCATCTTAAAATAAAAATCAGATTAGGTAAGCACATCAAATCTACATTTAAAACAAACCAAAGTTATGTCCTAGCTATTTGTATATCATTTGCTATTTTAAACTCCATTACTATAATACTACTGGTTTTAAAATTTTTAATTTCTGAAACCCAAAAATTAGAGATAATGTTTACCTGTGGGAAGAGGAATTGAGTTTGTGAAGGTTCTAGAAAAGAGACATTTCACTGTGCACCCTTATGTACCTTTTGAATCACAGATCCAATTAATTAAAAGATTTTCCTTAATTTCTTCAGGAATCCATCATAACCATACAAATAAGTTCTTAAATTCTTGGATGCAAATACTTTTTATTTACATCTAGTTCTTAACCACTAAAAACCAGGTTATCTTGCAGAATAGTGAGTTAATAGATGTGAAGATGTGGGATCTAGTCTTGGCTTTGGACCAATTTACCCTGTGCCAAAGGGCATACTATACAAAAAATGAAGTAACTGATAAATCTATTCTTAACGTTTCTAGGGCCCAGAACCCCTTTGGAACTCTGACAAAAAAAACAGTAGAACAAAGAAAATTTCATGTTTGTATATACAATTTCCAGGTTCCATGGATTGGAGATGAAGAATTCCTGGGAAAAGTGATCTATACCTAATTGGCATTAAATTTCTGATCCTTATTTATGTGGATATATAATGATCGTCTACCTGACTAAAACAGTACCTAGATTTTTCACTACTTATAGTGGAATGTAAATCCTATCATCCATTTATTCAGTTTCCAAAGTTTACGAATCTACCTTTGGCTGGTTATCAAAAATAATAGCACATGACTACTGTCAAAAAATAAAATGCCAAATTTCTGCTGTCTGGCTTCAGGTAAAGTGGATTGAGGCAAACAATACTTAGATGAAAAAGTTTAAGCTAATTGCATTCCTTTAGAAATAAATTCCTTTATTTCTAACCTTACAGACTCGGAAAACATGAACTGCTTTCATAAATTTGTGCTTTAATATTATGTACTAAGCTAGAGGTTCCCTAAATTTCTTGGTTCATGGTGACCTTAGTGTGTCAGTAATTTTTTCCATTTGTCCTATAGGCCAAGAGAAATATCTAACAATTCTGTATTAAATAGTAAGTTCCTAATTACTTAATACTTAAATTATAACTCAGCAGCTGTTTGAAATAATACAAATAAGAAAGAAAACATTACATTTTAAAAAAATTCTTTAATAACTACAGTTACTTATTAATGTTGGGTACTTTCACCATTTCTCAAACTCTGAAATCAGATTGGACACTCCCACCTTCATTTTCTGTTCCTCCATACAAAGAAAATGTAGAATAATCTAATAATGAAACTTAACCAACTCCAAGTTAGTTGATACCCAACAAATGGGTCACTGTGTTTCCCTGGAAATTTTCAAATACACTGCAACATCCTGAGTGTTTGCTGAGGCACCCCAGAGAGCCTTGTTGTACAGTTTGAGAATTGTGGTACTAAAATATAAAGGCTGTTACAAAAAACCCTCTTCTATGAAAATGGCATCAGTATTTGATGTGAATCCTTGAAGGTCTTTTGCCTACTTCAAATCTCATTTCTTTCCAATTTGCTACCTAAATCCCAATCCTATCAAACTACAGAATTTACTGCTGGAGACAATCTCTTGGCTCAGCTACTAATGCATGCTGCACCTTTGGGATATACTACCTTTCCTTCTTTTCTTCAACTATCTCTTCCTAGTCCCTCCTCTGCCTAACCTCTATCTTGTTTCAAAGTTGACCACAAATCTTCCTAGGAAAGAAATTTCCTGCCTATGCCCTCTTAGAATTTAGATTAAATGCCTCTCTTCACTATCCCAAAGACTATTAGCAATTTGAGGGCAAGGCTTATACCTGGCATAGCAGTTGTTTTGCTTTCTTAATGATTAGTCCATTATATTATTTAATATTCTTCTTCTTTCTTTTTTAAGATTTTATTTATTTGACAGAGAGAGAGAGAGATTGTGAGGGCAGGAACACAAGCAGGGGGAGTGGGACAGGGAGAAGCAGGCTTCCCGTGGAGCAGGGAGCCCAATGTGGGGCTTGATCCCAGAACCCTGGGATCATGACCTGAGCCGAAGGCAGATGCTTAACAACTGAGCCACCTAGGCGCCCCTAATATTCTTCTTTTGGAATTCAGGAAAGTCTGTCACTGCTGAGGAACTCTTGCTTTCCTCTTTCTGATAAAGAGAACTTATACTCTAGGAAACTCAAAGGCAAAACTGATATTCAACCATAGCAACTATATTAGCTAGAATTAGATATAAACCATAGGTGGCTAAGCATGTTTGCTTTCTCTTCCTTTTCAAAGGCCTAAATTTTTAGTAACCATATTTTACTCCCATCTTTTGTTGTGACATGGTTTAAATATTTTTTGAAAAGGAGCAACAGATACCTACAGTATAATCAGTAACTTAAGATAAATGTCCCCTGAGAGTAGGCAAGAAAGATTACAGTACTTTCTATTACTCCTTTCCTAAAAATTTTAGTGCAGTAAACTGTGAAATTTACTGGAAAATATAATTTTCTTGCATTTGAAACAAGTGACATGAAATATTTTATCTATTAACTTATGTCTCTACCCTAAAAAAAATAATAAAACAATTATATCATAAATGCCAGAATCAGTACTGGGCAATGAAATAATATTTCTGACATAGGTAAAATAAATTAGCCTCAGAAAATAAATAGTTATTTAACCAGTGAAAACCTTCAGTGATAATCTTTGTCTCAGTAGCTTCTATTACAGGCAGTAATAACTGTCTACACCATCTATATTACATTATGTTTACAAGCTTAACACTTTCATCCGCATTCACAACTGTTTTCTACTCTGTAAAATTTCATGCCTACTCCCAAATTAAACAGTAGATACCTTTTTTCATCTTTTCAAAATAAAGTTAGATCTAACCTCTAATCACAAACTCCTTTTAAAATTCACTAATATGCTCAGAAGTATGCAGATAAAAGATTAAAAAAAATGAACTAATCCTAAGCATAAAACTAAACTCTTAACAATATTCATAATGCTGCACCAATTATCTATACATAAAAGAAACCTCTTAATTCTCATCTCTTTTATCACTGAAATCATAAGCTAGCCACTCCATTCTAGTCAAATTAATCTAACATTTTGCTGTTTACATTATTTTACCTTGTCTTTCTTATGCCCTATTTATCTAAATTCAGCATCACAAAATACTTGCTTAAAAAATATTTTAGGTCTTTCATGGCTCCATTTTAAATTTTATATCATCCATATGTTTAATGCAGTCATTCAATCAAATGGATCAAATCCAAACAAAAGGAAATCATCAGTAAAATTAATACCCCCAGGATTTACAGAACTGAAATGATTTTTAGTTAAATAGGTTTCAAGTGGCTAAATAAAAGGAATAGAGACCCCAATGAGTAAGAAAGTAAAAATTAGATGGATTTCAAAGGAACCAAAATAAATTAAAAACTGAATGGTTAGGTTAAATAGCAGATTAGACCAAGATAATGAATTAGTATACTGGCAGGTAGAAAACTGGGGAAATTACTCTGAATTTATCACACAGAGATATGAGAAATTAAAAGGCATGGAAGATAAAATGAGAAGATCCAAGATCCATCTAGGAAGAGCTCCAGAATAAGAGAATAAAGAAAATGAGGGAGAAGTACTGCATGAAGATAAATGAATGGGAATTTTCCAGAATTGAAGAACGATTTAAATCCTTGGGCCAGAAAGCCACACCAAATTGTAATAAGATAAATGAAAATAACAACAGAAATAAACAGAGGAAAGGCATTTTATCAACAAATGAATGACAATTAGAGCAACAGAAGACTTCCCTTAATGACAACAGAGGCCCAAAACTATCAAACTTCTATAAGACTTTGAGATTTTATCTTAAGGTCTTCAGATATTGCTAAGGCTTTCTCAAAAAAAAAAAAATTTTTTTTTTTTTAATCTGCCTCAAAATATTAACATTCTGGGGAAAATTACAGGTGAACTAACCTAGAGTCCATGTTATATTTACATCATTCTCCTGTTCACTAATCATGTATCTGTTAATATACATTAAAGAAAAACTGTGCTGTGGAAGTAGAGAATGCACCACTGTTACCTCTGAAACTGACAAAGATTTTTCTAATCATGATGTTAGCAATAATCCAATGTAAACTGTCTTTATA